CTACTACTACTACTACTACTACTACTACTACTACTACTACTACTACTACTACTCTCTCTTTCTTTCTTTCTCGCCGTCTCTTCGTTTTGTGTCTTTCCAACTTCAGTAGCAAGAAACTGGAAACAGCTTCGTAAGTGTCAGAACCACCATTTGAAATTTAAACTGCTGTTGTCGTCTAAATGAAATTCCTGGAATGACACGGAGAGACGATTAATACAGATGTCTTGAAGAGATCAGAGATGCCCAGTTATTCAGTACATGTACTTCTCAAAACTTCCACACATCACGCTTTTGCAGTTTTCATATTTTGTATAAACCTGAAGTACTTTTCAAGTCTCTTTCCTGGCAATTTAAGAGGGCGTTCTTAAATTCATGGAAAAATGAAGCTACATCATAACTCATTCTTGGGCTTTGATAACTTGTTCCACACCATCTAGTGCTGCCAGCTGTTGATTTGATGTTATCAGAGCCGCTATAACCAATACTTCGTTATTATAGTATTATTATGTCAACCCCGCCTTTTTGTCTATTCAAAGAGGAAATCACCAGCGTCTGTGGTGTAGTAGTTTGGCGCTTCGCTGTCGCACACAGGATACCTGAGTTCGATTCCCGAGTCGGGAGACATTTTTATCGAGTGTCTTGGTCTTTCGTTGTGTCCCCTTGAGCCCGGGTTGGCCTGCCACCTAAATGAAGTAAAGTGTGTCTAAGGGGGTGTAAAACACCTCAATTAAAAAGAGGATGTCAAGGACAATAAGCAAATTGAAACTGTTCTGTTCAGGCCAGGTCTTCTCATCACTGCCACGTACTCACCCCCTCATCACCCCCTCCCAAACCGTTGAAGAAGTCACACACATACTGCTTTCGTTTTCCTTATCAACATTATGATGATATTATATCAAGCCTTCTCATCATAGTCTCGTCTTTTCCCACCTTCTGGTGCAGACAATTTAAATGTATTTTCTCCTTTTAAAATATCAGTACCAATAATTAATTATACCTTCACAGGAGGATGTGGTGTGTCAGAGACTTCTCCGCAGGGTGAAAAAGGCCCATCAAATTTCCCTGGAGGAAAGCATCGCCAAGAGTTTGGAAGCCAAAGCCAGCGCCATGAGAGATGAAGTAATTATGTTCTTAGGAGGCATCGTCAACGAGGACGCAAAGTTCAAATGCAAGCAGCAAGTTCTAGCATTCAATTTGGAGTTCCGTCGTTTCTACCCAATGGCACCCCTTCCAATGGGCTGCGACTCGGGCGTGGCGTGCTGTCGCCATGGTAACGACATTCTCGTCTGCGGGCTCGGGGAATCCCGGCAGGCTTTAGTTCGCTACGTATCCGCGCATAATGTGTGGCGGGTGCTGGCGCCCATGACGATAGGACGACGGGGTCACGCAATCGTTTCCCATGGCAACTTCGTGTATGTCCTTGGCGGGATGATGGATCAAGCCGTAGACGGCTCCAAACGCATCACGGCCATGGTGGAACGTTACGATATCAAACGAAACAGATGGGGCTTCACAGCGACCTTGCCAGAAAGTGTTTGGGGGCATTCGGCGGTTGTTACGGGGACGAAAATCGTCACTTTTGGTGGCTACCATTCTCGGGACTCCCCCACGACTTCTGTGCAGACCTATGACATGAAGACAGGGTTAGCGAGGGTCACCAGCCAACTTCCGTTTCCGGTGGCCTTGACCCAGGCTGTGGAATGCGACGGCTTGATTTACATCGTCTGCCCTACGGGGAATATTTTGAAGACTACTGACTGTTGGAGATTCCAGACATGCAGTGCGTTGCCAGGGTTCAAACGGGCTATGTATGGGGCCACGGTACATCGAGGACGGCTCTTTGTCGCTGGAGGCAAGTTTAACCACGAAGCTTACGATGACATGATGATGGTGGACCTTAGTAATCAAGCACTTGTCAACATGCCGGAAAAGCTACCTTTGCCTATGTACGGATTTGGGTGTGTGGCCTTGACACTTAGCAGAGGACTTATGGTGAAAATGGCGTTTGATTGAAAGCTTGCATTATTTGAACGATTTATTTGAACCATTACAAGTGAGATAGAATTACCTGGAGGTCCATACAGAATCGATATTTGCAAGGGGTTATCACAGAGTGTACCGTTTGTGTGTTTTTGATGTGTGTATGTATGTGTGTGTGTGTGTGTGTGTGTGTGTGTGTGTGTGT